CATCACCATCTGTCGGTCATCCTGGTCCCTCCGCCTACGTGGAACTATGGATACACGAATACAATGTCTGAACCGCAGGCCGCCGAAGGACGATTCCCTTCACCCCGACAGATCACCGTAGGATTACCACCAGACTCACGCAAGCCAACGCATCAACTACGGTCTTATACAGTACCTCGGCCGCCGTTTCCAAGTCCTCGATTGACTGTGTTCAGAATTCTCTGTCGATTCGGGGCCACCAGACCTGTGCCGGACCGGCATTGTCTCTTTACGGACCGTTCGATCACAAGGCCATGACTGTGTCTCATGCTCTGCTGCCGGTTGCTTTCGGAAGTACTTAAGGAAGGCTTACAGTCTGGAGCATCCTCAAACTCGGTGCTGCTATGATTCAGCTTTGGACGTCGCTTCTGTCACTTTTGTCCGTTGTCGCCGCGGTGCATCTGCCCGTCGAGCGCCAAACGAACGATGGTGTCCACCTGGCTATCACACCAGTGTGCGGAAAGCTCGGCGGCACGTTTGCCAACGCCAACGCTGGGGTTGTGACGACCGGGATCAAAACGCTGGTCGCTTTCGGGGCGCGTTCCACTCTTCTTATTCATATGCACCGTCCACTAATGGTCATTATATCAGGACTCGTACACCTCTGGCGGACGCAGTGATGGCGGAACCCTCCCGGCAGCCGTACTAAATGGCACCAGCCCGCGCGCAGGCGGTCGTGGTACGGACGGCCCTGTCTGGGCCGAAGGCGTTGCAAGCGATTTGGGCGCAACTATCAAGGATTACGCTGTGCGTCCTTTGCCGACTGTGCGTTCTGTACAGGAGGGATAATCCTCATGAAGGTCTCTGGCGCAGTCATAAATGTGACCCTGTGGCCGAGCTTAGTCGGCCACTCAGATTTCCTGCATCAAGGTATGTCGTCTCGATCATCGAGAACAGGATAGTCTTGTGAACGGAGACTGTAATAGCATCTCTTTTTCTGAGCCAAAATAACGCCTTGAATCCGGCAACAACTCTGTACACTGTGTTCTTCGGAATCAAGTATGCGATGGCCGTCATTTTTTACATCGTGGATGTCTGATACATTTGATTTGTAGTGACGTCTCCGCTTCGTCCAGTGCGTCTCGCTTGTACGAATTTAGTTTCTAGTCTGATCATAATGCGTATCTACAGCCGACGGAAACCACCTCCCCCAAGCCGCCGCGGAGCTTCTCACACAGATCAAGCAACTCGCCGCAGCGCCCACAAACGCCAAAAACATCGTCGTGCTCGACGACTACGGGCGCGGATCGCACTCTACCACCGGCGACGCTTTCAAGCAGGCCGTCTTCGCCGGCCTCACTCCCTTGCGCGCCCAGGGTCTGAACGTCGCGTTTGTCGACTTTGCGCCGCTTTGGGATGCCGTACTGGGGACGACGCCGGGCTTTGCGGCGTTCGGATACAAGACTTCTGGCGCTTGCATACCGAATTTGTCGCAGACGGATTTGTCCGGGGAGTGCTCGACGCCGTTGAACTCGTTCTATTGGCTTCCTGGGTGAGTGTCGTTCTACCATCCGAGCATACCAGCTGGTTAATCGTCGTATCGTGGAACAGACACCCGTCCAAGGAAACACATCGGATCATGGCCGTCAGTTTCTGTGTTTGGCTTTGCCGCAGGTCTGTACTAACTCTATTGGCCCCAGGACTACGTCAAGCTCGTGCTCGCTAATTGCAATGCATAATGCGGTCCTTGTCGAGTTCACGCACAGTTCAGCTCGATATATGTTCTCCTGTAACCATATTCTCGAGTCATCATTGGAAGAAGAGGGCCTGACTAAGAAGCTGTGAGTTGGCTATCGAGGCGGAGGCGGATATCTGTTATCTGTTCCAATTTTGTGACTGAATTCCATCCGGCTGTGATTCAGCTGAGAGACTATGCGTCGGGTTGTCGCCATCTTTCTGCGCTGAAGCCTGAGGTGGATTCGCCTCGTTCGACGCAGGGCCGGGCATCAGGACAGATATCAGATACCTAGCGGTCTGGCGCAGGTTTTCGGCGACTCCTTAGAGGAACCAATGGCATAAGAGCGAGGGAGTAGCGGGGTAGAGAAGACCAGGTAGCGGACGGTCCGCATCCACTTCCTGTATCCAATGCGTAGGTACAAATGGGATCCCCCGTTCGACTCGGGACTCGGTCCTATCCCCGAAGTAATTCCTTTTTTGTCCTCTGGGTCTGTACGGTTTCGCGAAGTGTGCTCGGAACGGGGAGAGCGCTGGGGCTCGTAAATTTATATACAGCTCATGTGTTGCGCAGCACTTAGGAGAGTCAATTGCAAGTAGCAAACTTGCGGTTCCGTGTCATCCCCCCTCCATTATCTTGCTTCCAACAGCCGAGAATTACTGGGGCAGTAAGTTGCATTGAATGGCCAGGTAGCGGACGGTCCGCATCCGCCTTTGGTGTGGGCTTTGGAAGAATACATGGGGAGCCCCCCGTTCGACTCGGGGCCTGGTGATGTACCGGCGAAAAAACCATTTTTCTTTTGGCAATGGCTGTACATTCGATACTGCCCGACTTTCAGTAGTCTGGGCGCGGAGCAGTACCTGATTATAGGGACCGGGAACACGGCTGGAGTCAAGGATGGAGATCGTGCGCTCAGATTTTAGCAGGGGAGTTGGACCAGCGAATCCGGGGACCCCAATGCTCAGGCAGAAACGACTTTTGGTTAACAAGGAGGATAAAGGGCGATCCGGAATGAACAGGTAGCGGAGGGCCCGCATCCGCGTGCCATTACATATTGTAATTCTTTCAAGCTTGTAAAGTGGATCCCCCGTTCGACTCGGGGCCTGGTCATAGACTGGAATCAAAACAATTTTTTCTCTGGACACAAGAACTGGAACTTGGCCAGCGGCGACGTTAAAAAGATGACTGTGTATCTCGCTGGTGGGAATCAGAGTAACAAATTACCGGGGGCCCAGCACCATTGAAGCGGTGCCATACAACGGAATTCAATGTGCGGACAGCGGGATCGAATATAGCTATGGACGAGCTATAGAGCGTCAGGTGAATCGCCCACGTCCAAACGAAGTCCAGATTGCCGCCTTGACGTATGCAAAGCAGACTGGAGATCGAAAAAGTAGGGGTCTAAGCTCCGAAGATACCGTTGACGGGAGCCTCGCTGTGATCTGTGGACGCAGGCGTCGGGCTTCGGCAATGGAATTCGGGACAGAAGATTTCCGCCCCAAGTCGTAATGAAATTGATAATGCCGCACAGTATTGGAGGGGCGCCGTGCGCCTGAGTTGCCCGTGCGGGGGGGGGGGAATCACGAGATGCCAGTGGGAATTTGAACCCGGGATAGTAGAGAGTCAGGTGAAGAGCTGAAGCCATAGATAATGCCAGATTGGTGCGTCGATGGCATTGCGGTAGACAGTATGCCAAGGTTGAAGGGATGGATGCGCTTCGCCCGGAGTGACAGATAGCTTGAATGGAGAACAACAACGGCAAGAAGCTCCCTACACCGAAAGCTCAGGGGCCATTTTCCATGCACCGAGCCTTGAGGATCCAGGATGGATTCACGAGCCTGAATGAGTCGTCGCTGCAGAAGATGGTGGAGAGTTCAGTCGAGGTGGTGGTCGGTGGGAAGAAGATTCCGGGAACATCCGGATGATGATCGTATCAGATTGATCAATCGACTACGTCACTCACCCGCCTCTTTCCTTCCTTTCTCCTTGTGGTCGCCCTCGCGGTCGTCGCCGGCGTTGGTGCCCACTCGAACAAGGAGCAGTCGCACTCGAAGAAAAACCGGAAACCTTGGCAAACGCGCGTCGCCCTTCGAGTAACAGTGTTGGACGTTCTGTCAGTCTAGCACCCGCCCTCCGTCGCCGCGAATCATCCCATGCCCAGCGACCCCGTCTTTCCGGCCCCGCGCCTGGATCTCGCGCGCAGCCCCTCTCTGTCTGCTCCGTGTTCGGGTGCGCGGCCCGTCTGGGGCACGCGCTCGGAACGTTTTCGTCGAGCCGGTTCTGCGCTGTACCTCACGTCCCGCGCCTGCGCCGAGCTCTCGTGTTTCCCGACCCTACCCATACACCACTCCGCCATCGTGCATCTGCGTGCAACGCTCGCGATCACTGCTCATTGGTGGTAGGCGCTTGGATCACATCTTGCGTCCCCTCTGTACAAAGTTGCGTTGCATTGACAGTCATTGTTGTGCCGTATTCAATCGGGGTGCAATTGAATGTATTCCAATCATTCTACGCACAGTGACCACCAGTCCGCCGTTGGTCATCAACTGTGGACGCAGTCAGAATGAGTTGCGCTCTAAAAAAGACCTCAACTTTCTGGTCATGACCCAGCCTGGACTCGAACCAGAATCCCCCTCGACTGATTACGCATTGACATCTTTCTGGACAAATCACCCAGGGTGCGTTTCCTTTTCGCTACCAGGTCCCTTTCTCATCGCACTCCGCGCACATATGTCTACCATTAACTCGATTCCGCACGCTGATGCGAGGAGCTGAGCTTCCGTCAGACGATTGCGAAGCCGCGCCTCCAGGACTTGTTTCTCGCCGCTCACGGCTGCTCAGCATGTCGAGCTGACTTGAGCTCCGCCCCTACGAGACAATAGTGATGCCCTCGCCTCCCCTCCACGACTGGAATGGTGGGTCAAAAAATACAAGGAAGGAGCGCACGACCTAGCCTGGATTCGAACCAGGGATCCCTGCTCTTATTAGACTATTTCGATATGCTGTCGTTAATCAGTGCAGGTGCGATTCCTTTCGCTACTAGTTCTCATTTCTTACTCCAGCCCCCCGTAGATATGCACTAATTTAGTGTTCAAGTATGCACGGTAAGGGGGAGGAGCGCCTACGAGCCGATTCCGCACCGCCGAGATTCATCTCTTGCGCACCAATATTAATCTTCCTCAGCGTCCCACTGGCAGGTGTGTAATTCTGACACATGAGACGTCCTCGCAAGCCTGAATGTCTTACCCCCTCGCTTGGAACGAAAAAATGCAGGGGTCAGCGAACATGACCTAGCCTGGATTCGAACCAGGAACTCCCGCAAGTATAAACCTCGCAACTATCTTATCAAGTGCCGGTGCGATTCATTCCGCTACTAGGTCTACTTCCTACGGCAGTCTCCCGTAGACATGCAGTAATTCAGTGTTCAAGTATGCACGGTAAGGGGGAGGAGCGCCTACGAGCCGATTCCGCACCGCCGCGATTCATCTCTTGCACATCAATCTTTCTCAGCGCGCCAGGTGTGTAATGTTGAGACTACAGACGTCCTCGCAAGCCTGAATGTCTTGTACCTTCGCTTGGAACGAAAAATATTTTCACATGTCATGACCTGACCTGGAGTCGAACCAGGAACTCCTGCGAGTATTGACCGATTACTACCAGGTCCATGTTCTTACTTCATTCCCCCGTAGGCGTGCAGTGATTTTTTCTCCTTTATGTATGGCGAGAGGATTTTCAGGTTGTTCCCCTTCCAGCTTCATTGTCTCTCTCTCATTTCATACCTCCTCTTACACAGTTACAGCTTACGTCCCCTATTCTCGCGTCCCACTCTCGGTGTCCATAGCGGGTGCTGACCTGCTCTGCGCCACCGCTCCTCATCAGCCTTCCCCTCTCATCCCCCTTCCGTGTCTCACCCCGCTCCAAAGTCCTCATTCAGCAATCGGCTCATTCGTAGCGGACAGGCGCGGCTGCACAAATGCGCATGGTTAGTATGCGTTTAAACGAAGAATACTCCCCCGCGCACCTTAGCCTCCAGCGGCAGGCCCCGCTTGATTGTCCCTGTCCCGGCCTCCATTGTTGTGCCCACACGCCGCGCAGACGCCACCATGAGGCGCTAGACCGGCATTCCGAAATGCGTTATTGACTACCTCGCCCACCGCATTCACCAAGCGCGTCTGTGTAAATGGGTTCGCGTGCGTCAATCGGTGCAAAACACGGATATTGGGGACCCACGGACCTGGGCCGCTTCCGCCTCCAGCTCAGAGACTTGCGCGGTTAGCTCCTGGAGCGGCTTTGTGCGCGCGAAGATCATCCGCGTCAAGGAGACAAGCCAATAAGCTGCGCCCCTCCTTAATTTGTCGTTGATCCTGACGTACTCATTTCGGCTGTCTGGGCACAAATCCGCCACCGGGATCTTCTCGAGCCGCCGCTTCAGCGCCTTGATGGCATATACGCTTTCGAATGTCTGCCGGTGGGTGCAGGTGAGCGCATGCGCCTTAGGCGAGTATTCGCTGGGTACTTGCCTCTTGTGCCCGGACGAGTAGTGTGATGTTGATCGTGATGAGCACTGTGATAACGCCTTGAGCGAAGGCTATGGCACCCAAGATATCGAACGCAGAGGGCATCGCAGCGGGTGCTGCCCCGATTGAAGAGCGAGTCCTATATAACACCTTTGTCTGACAGGTATCACGATAACATCATCATTCAGCATGCCACGGAGGCTTTTCCCCTGCCTTTCCCGTCATTCGCGCCACCGCCACTAGGGATTAACTTCACATCCTCTTTTCATGCCAATGCAGCGTAAATCATCCGTGAATAAACTTTCCCATCATCCTTGTCATACAGAAAAAGCTGTATATGCGCGTACACGAAAAACTGTACATCCAAGAGGTAGTTTGAGTCGTGCGCAGATCGAGTGGCGCAAGGAAACGTATCCCCACTTGCTTCGAACTCCGTGTAGACGACTAAGGAGGAGAGGGCTGGATCCTGGCTCGATTCCAGGCTTGATCATTCCGCATCGTATGTGAAACACTCTTTTCTAATTGTTTTGCCGCCAAGGCTCTTGCACATCGGAACTTTGGAACTCCGGGTCGCGCTGTGAGCGCAAATATGGCCCAGACCTGCACTTTGCGCGCTAGTGGAAGCTCCTCAATTGCCAGTGCGTCGAAGTGCGCAGAAAATGAATAACCTGCGCAAGGGACGCGCATTGAAGCTCTTGGTTTAAATTTCCGCTCGCCCGGACAAAAAAAAGTCGTGGTGAGCATGGAAAATAAGGCTCTGTTTTATTCTGGTTTATAAACAGGTGTTTATAAACCGGTTTTTATATGGTCAGGCCAGAACACCCTGTTTTTAATCGATGTGGCTGTGCTCGGCAAGGCGAATGGTGCAGTTTTGGGGTTTCCTCTGACCTAAGTCTGGCGGTTATAACGAGTCATTCGGTCAGTTTGGCCTAGAATCTGCATGGAATGGACTGGATGGCACCCATTTACCCAAGGATAGGCATTACTTGTTCGATTAAGTGGCATACTCGTGGTTGAATCCATAAATGATGGATTCCGTGTGCTGGCCCAGGTCCTCCGAGGGCAAGAGCGCGAAGAATCCCCAAAACCGCGCTGTTCAGGTGTTTCTCATGGATTTTGCGGGAGTGTTTTTACAGCTCTTTGCAGAACTTAGGACGCGGACGATTTTTTTTTTTTTCCATTTTGGGTCGTTTTCGATGTTTTGGAAGAGGACAGCCGCCCCGGCCTCAAATCATGGCCGGTTTCCTCGGGAGTAGGCCCATTCGATCCGCATTGATAATGGCCGCGAACAGCATCCTCAGAATTTCGTTGCAAGGCCTAAACCACATTTGTGGCTCAGGTATTTTTGATCATTTTCACCAGGACAGCTGCCCCGGGCTCAAATAGTGTCGGCTTGCCTCGGGAATAGGCCATTCGATGCGGGTTCAAATTACGCAGCGAATGAGCGCCTCGGATTACCTTCCCGGCCGCTACGACGCATTCCTGGAATAGCCACTTGGTTTTCACCGCATTCCCGCACAAAGATTGGAAAGACACCTTCAAGCCTGGGCCGCCTGAAGGGGCGGCCCCATCCGTTCTGGGTGGCACAGTCCGCATGTTTCTTACGGCGCTGAGAAATCTAGCACAGTTTGAAACATGGTTGACTAAGCGGCGATTGCCGAGATTACTCAGCGCTCACCAACTGGTCGATCAGCGATTTGTGAGCCAGCTCGGATGGAGATATTGATCAATAATTCGTTTCAGGCAACGCATATCTGTGATATAAATACTGGGGTGAGTTTGCATGGCGACTAAACCGTGAATTCCGTCCAACATGCTCCTCCTTCAATCGTTGTCCCTTACTTTGCTCATTGGCGCGACAGTCGCCTCGCACCACGACTTCGGAATTCCCTCCTCTTATTCTACCGTGGACGTCAAGGTTTTCAACGTCGGAGTCGCCAGGCTTACCAACACCTCCCACGCCTTCGTTCAGCCTGTGCTTCCGGGACACGAGTCCATGGACTTTCCCATGTTCGCTTTCCTCGTCGAGCATAAACCGACCCAGAAACGTGTCATGTTCGACCTCGGAATGCGCAAAGACCGGTTGAACTTCGTCCCTAGCATCGCGAGCTTCTTCTCCTCCGGGCTGTTTACAGTGAATGAACCCAAGGACATCACGGAGCTACTTGAGGACGGAGGGATCCCCCTTGCGAGCATAGACACCGTCATTTGGAGGTGAGCCCATCTCGATTGAAACCGAGCCCCCGTCATTAATTAAAATTTACAGTCATTCGGTAAGACCCCACTCCGAGCTCAAGAGTCGATATTGACATCTGATCCAATTGCGATAGCACTATGACCATATCGGCAAGACTCTAATCCGAGCCTCGAGATTTGATATTTACATTTTTAACAGGAGATATGTCGAAATTCCCGAACAGCACGAAGCTCATAATTGGGCCGGGCACGGATACCGCGACTTTCCCGGAGTCTCCCACTGGGTCTCTGCAAGCGAGCGACTTTGCGTAAGTTGCCCCCGATTCATCCGTCGACTTGCATTGACGTACTCCTCTAGCGGGCACAACGTCACTGAATTGAACTTCGACACAACAAATATTACCTTCAGCGGTTTGAAAGCCATCGACTATTTCGGTGATGGAAGCTTCTACCTTGTGGACACACCCGGTGTGAGTTCTCGCCATGCACGGTAGCAGTTTTCTCAAACACCACATAGCACATGACAGGCCACATAAGCGCCCTTGCGTGCGTCACACCGACCTCCTTCCTCTCGCTCGGCGCAGACGCCTTCCACCACGCTGGGCAGGTCCGCCCGCGACCTGAGTTCCAGAAGAACTACCCTTGCCCAGGCGTATGTGGGGAAACGATGCATCACACCATGGTGGTTGTGCATGAGTCGTGATTGATCAATGACTCTGCTTGCCAATGCGCTGTGATGCATCACCCCAGCGCTGTAGACGTGCAGGCAGGCGCCCATGCGACCAGCGCCGCCAGCCTCCGCGCAGCGCTCCATCAATGATGGCACCCACGTCACCCGTCCCTCGGCGCTGGCGCTCCCGCTCGCTTAATTGGGATGTTATTTACATCTGTTAGGAATCCAATCCCTTCCTACTCCGGCCACGAAAGCTGCCCTCCCTCGCCGCCCCTCCTCACCGCCTCCGGTCGCTGCCCGTCGTAAAGGGTATTTAGGTCTCCTCTAGCCCCCAAGCGCCTTCTTACGCCGCCACGACCACTGCTGTGCCCCATTTGCAGCGGGACCGTCCGCCGCCTGCCCGCTCGCCCCACGCGCGCGCACCGGCTGCGCGCCTTCTAGCTGCTCGCGACAGCACAACCTTCCCAACCCTTCTTTGTGCTTGCTCACGCGCCCCCCGCGCGCGCGCCTTTCAGCTGCATGCGACACCGCTACCCTACCTTCCCAACCCTTCTTTGTGCTTGCCTATGCGCCGGCCCCCGCCGCTCCCTGCCCCCGCCGCGCGCCCGCCCCCGCGCGCGCCCACCGGCTGCACGCCTTTCAGCTGCACGCAGCACCGCTACCCTACCTTCCCCCAGCCCTTCTTTGTGTTTCCCACGCCCTCGCGCCGCCCCCGCCGCGCACCACCCCCCGCCGCGCGCCGCCCCCCGCCGCACGCCCGCCCCCGCGCATGCCCACTGGCTGCGCGCCTTTCAGCTGCATGCAACACCGCTACCTTACCTTCCCCCAGCCCTTCTTTGTGTTTCCCATGCCCTCGCGCCCGCGCCCGCCCCTGCCGCGCATCCCCGCCCCCGCCGCGCGCTCCCGCGCACCGGCTGCGTGCCTTCCACCACTTTCTCGCTGCCCGCTCGCCCGCGCCCCACGTCTGCGCCCACTTTCATATATTCCAACACGTCCCCGTAAAATTTCTCATCTGTAAATTAGATACTGAAGAATAAAGTTTTCTTTATCAGGCCAAAAGGCCCCATTTATTTACTTAAGTAAGATGCTCTTGTGCGTCACTGTGGTCTAATGGTTAGACGTCCGGTATGGTTCCAAACGCAACTGTAGTCACTTTCATCGGGAGTTGCCGGTTCGACTCCAGCCAGTGACGACTGCATTTTATTGGTGATTGTCTTTTCAAGAGGCAAACGGCCTCATGTATTTAATAAACTACGATATCTTCCAATGCTGCTGTAGTCTAGTGGTAAAGACGCCGCTCCATAGTGCCGAATGCTACTGTGGCTTTAGCTGGAGGTCGCCGGTTCGATTCCGGCCAGTGGCATAAGGAGCCTTTCTAGTTTTTTGGCATTACTACCCGGTCTGGCAGTCAATTTTTTTTCTCTTCTAGCAATGACAAGTCCGTCGCACCCTAAAGAAAAAAGCGGGCGAATACATTCAACGCTACTAACAGTCTAACACTACTGGCTGGTTGAGCAGCCGGTTGAAGCACACCGCCTGTAGAAGGCCTTTGAACGTCCGCCTCCACGCGCCCCTATGTCTTCGTCCGCGCTCTGAGGATCAAGTCAGGCTCAAGGAGATAAAAACGCCGCACAAAGGACGTACTTTTTCGCCGGCTTGGATCCGGCCGCATCGCCCGCCGCCTGGCGCTTCTTCGACATCGCAACGGCGGTGCCCTGGTCCCCACCCTGCGGTTTCTTGGCGGGGCGAACACCCTTCGTCAATTGCGGGGCGATCGTCCCGTCGACCATCCGCTTCGCCTTCCGCATGCGCCCCTGGTGCACCTCGGGCTGATTCGTGGTGTCCTCCAACGTACCGCCCACCACTTCCGCCCCTACCGCCGCCGCGCTCACTGCACCCGCCCCCGCGCTCACTGCACCCGTCCCCGTGCTCGTTGCACCCGCCGCCGAGCTCGCTGCACCCGCCGCCGTGCTCGTTGCCGCTGGCTCCGGCCCTTTGGGCTTCAGTGGGCGCCCCCGAGGCTTTTTAGCGACTGTGACATCGGGCGGCGGCGCAATGCTCGCGCCAGCAGTGCTTGCCGCAGGCGCCGGCTCTGGCCCTTTGGGCTTCGGCAGACGTCCCCGAGGCCTTTTGGCGACATCGGGCGCCGGCGCCTCGCTCGCGCCAGCAGGGTTCGGCGGTGGAGGAGCAGTGGTGTTCCTCCTCCTCCCTGGCACGGCTGGTTTCCTCGCAGCCCGCCGCGACGTATGCAGGTCGTCGGTGGTGGCGGCGGCAGCGTCGTCGTCTTCTTGCTCCCCTTCGTCGTCGCTCACGGCTGTCGCCGAAACCGATGGCCGTCTGGCTCTCTTCCCCGCGCCACGCTTTCCGACCACCGGTTTTTGGCGGCGGGCCGCGACGCTGGGAGGTCGTCGTAGTCGCTGCCCTTCACCATCCCACCATTGCCAGCCCCTACCCCGACCTTCTCTGGCAGCGGTGCCTTTCGAGTACCCAACTCCCCAAGTCCTGCACGCGGTGCTGGCGCCCCGACGATAGATGCCATGGCACGCGCTGTGTGGCTCGCAAACCCGTCCGTTGTACGCAAAGGGCTTCCTCCCGAGGGAAGTCCCCCTCTATGCGCCGGGCTATTCCACACAGTCGCCTTCCTCCGCAAGCTTGCCGGTGACCCAGACGGTGAGAAGGGTGTCCTGCTCCTGCTACCATCGAACGCTCTGAACAGCGCGCTCGGCTTGAAAATCGATCCCTCCGCACGCTCCGCCTGGGGATTGGTATCGTAGAAGGCGCTCCCTCTGTAGCTGGGACGGGGGATTGGGCGCGCTTGGAGCGACAGCGGAGGCAGATCATCTGCAGGGGAAAGGCTTGACGCCGACAATGGGTGGAATGTGGAGTGTCCCGCGGGGGTGGCAAATGGTGAGGTGGCGGTCCCTAACGCCTTCCCCCAGTCGTGAGCCTCTTGCGAGGACCACCAATCCTCAGTCCCTCCGCTGAAAATGTCGCCCCCATTGAAGGGCTCGTCCCCACTGAACGCCGCTGGCGGCTCAAGGTCCGCGCTTAGCGAAACCCTTAGCGCGTCCCAATCACCCGTCTCCCCCCCGCCTGCGCCTGCTCCCAAACCGAAGGCGTCTGGAGCAATAACTGGGACGACGCCACTCGCGGGGAATGTCCACTCGGATGTCGGCACAACAGGCAAACACGCAGAGTCGCTAGGTGGCGGCGATGCGGTGCGCATTCTTGAAGACTCAACAGCAGGGGTAGGCGGTGTAGGAGATGCAAAGGGCGACGCCACAGGCGAAGCAGGAGGTGCAGAGGGTGAGGATAATGAAGGAGATGATGCTGGCGGTGATATTGCGGGAGAGCTCGGTGTCGCCTGCGTCCCAGCTTTCTTCTTGGGCTTCGGGATTCGCCTTGGCGCCGTCTTCTTCCTGGGCTTCACGACTGGCACATCGGAGCGCTCCTCCTCTGATTCCGAGCTATCCGAGTCGGAGGAGGGTGCTAAAGGCGGCGTAGAAGGCACCGTCTCTGCCGCCGGCAGCGCGCGCTCATCTCGCACCGAGAAAGCTTCAAAAACGCGTCAGTAATCGCGGACTGCCAGGTTAACGGACTGACGTACGATAAACTTGCTGGAGAAACGTCTGAAAGCGCTCCACGATTTCCTCCTTGAAGTTAGGACAGGCGTAGCGGAAGGTGTTGCCTTGAGCCGTCTCGCCAGCGCAGATTCTGAGAAGCGGTAGGCGCCCACATTAGTCAATACTTCCAAATATGGACGCTTTGGGAACTTACACCTTAACTGTCAAAGCGCCGCCTTGCCGCGGGGTGGGTCCGCCCAAGAGCGTGACGCTAGCCCACCCTGCGGCAATGTCGGCTACGTGCTGTGCCTCCCCGAACATGCCGTCCAGACAATCGATTCCTCTGCAAAATTTCGTCAATTCGATGCATGTTGTCCGTCTCCCCTGCGACTTACAGCTGCAACTGCTCTGGCGTTTTCGCCGGCTGGTCTTCCCTCGCCATCAGCTCCTCCTCACGTTGCCTCTTCCTTATTGCTTCCCTCTCTCGCTCCACCTCAATCCGCACCGTCTCCCGCTCCTCCTCCGACGCGTTAGCCCACAACTCAGACACCACCCCCGCTCTCAAGCGCATCCTTTCCGACCTTGACAGCCTGACACGTGCCTCCTGGACCTCCAGCGTCTCCTCCGCTTTGCTGCTACCCTGCGCATCCGCTCTCGCCGCCTCGTTCATCAAGTCGAAGCCGCGCTGCGTAAGCTGGACGCGAATCTTGTCCTTGTTGCGCTTCTGAAAGATTTCTACAGGCTTGTGCGCCCGCTGACCAGTCGGACGCGTTTTCTTCATCAGCGCGATTGTCAGAGGTGTCAGGGTCTTTCGCGGCGCGGCGCCAGGTCCCTGTCGAATCTTTTTGGCTTCGCGTCTGAACCAGCTCGCCAATTGCTACGATTTCACGTCGCGTCAGTCAAGACTTGGTCGATTTTTTGTAAGGACACCTACCTCTTTTCTTTTCTTAATCGCAGCGCCCAGTGCTTCGCGTTGCTCCGGGGTTATGAGGTCTGAGCCAGGCTGCTGCGGAAGCGGCAGTCCGAGTACCGCCTGTTCAGGGAACTCGTAAAACCATCCCTCTTCCATGGGACCCCAGAATAAAGACAGCTTCTTTTGGGCCTGGCGGCGCACATAGTCCGGGAGTTGCAGGTTCAGAAAAGCCAGCTGAGCAGCGGTAGTCCAACGGCTTGAAGGCATGGTGGTATTCGCTGCACGATTCGCTGACTTTTAATGACGTGACAGTACACAAGGACGACGGTCAACAAATGTACGTGCGACCCACGCGCGTGTTTCACAAAGTTTTTCGCGATTCCGGCAAAAATTCACCCATTCGGTCAAAGTATACATCAGATATCCTGAAATTCCCTGAACGCATCCACCATCTTCCGTCTTCAAGGAAATTCAGCAGCATTCTTACCGCATTGGTCTCCAAACCTCCCGATTCGGACGTCCAAACGTGGCTCACTAGCGGCCCCCGCTCATATCGATGGAAGCCACCAGATAAGCAGCTGATCTCAGCTGATGCCACGGCCCGCGAGGTCGCATTGGTTTTCTTCCCCATCTGGTCCGTTGTCTCGCCCCATCTTAAACCTTCACTCCGTTGCTTTTGATCCCCACCACTCTCTCTCCCTCCCAATCGCCTCACCGCCTGCCTTCGTCATGAGCACCCCCCAGGCCATTATCGCTGCCACCCCTGCTGAAGAGTTGGCCGCGCTCATTGCCCAGGTGTCTGCCTTGTCGAAGCTCACCTTGAAGATGACGAAGCTCTGCCTCGACATCAACGGTGAGCTACACATATTTTCAATTCCGTCCCCACCTAACTTTCTGTAGATGCGATCCCCTCCGTCATTACCTCTCAAGTTGCCTCCCAGGTTGCTGGCGCTCTTGCGGCCCCAAACCGTACGGTGCTCTGGATCAGTCTGATCACTGCTAAACATATCTCCTCAGAGCCCGCCACCGCCACTGCCAAGTTCATCGAAGGCGTCGCAGTGACCCCCAACGAGTTGGACCGAGCGCACCCTCACGGCGATGGCGATTACCAAGCCTGGTACGTCGTCATTGCCGGGCGGGAGCCTGGCATGTACCGCAGCGCGTGAGTTTCCCCTTGGCGCTCCCGACTCCCTTGCTCACGTCTCCTTAGGGCGGAGGCTGACGTTCAAGTGCTCGGCGTACCTGGCCAGTTCCGCCAGAAGAAGACCAGTCGCCGCGAGGCACTGGACTTTTACCGCACCCAGTACAACGACGGCTGCGTGGTCAAGCTCATTGAGGCCGCCGACGTCGCGCAGTAGTTAGTGTGTCCGTAGTAGTGTGTGCTATTGTCCGCAGAATGCATGCGTTTCCATCGTCCCTTCTGCACGAACCTCGTAGCTACGACCCTCAGAAAGAAAGATGTTTTTTGTTCTAATTCTTGCGAGAATCATCGGAGTTAAATTATCTCAGTTAAGACAAAAGCGGTACACTATGATGATTGGCGACCGCATGCATAGATAGATGGACCTAGATTACAGATGCTAATCTTTTAACAGGCGGTCAATCATCCGGTCCACCGGGACGCTGCTCGGCTATTCAGTCTCGGTAGAAGTAGGTGCGATTTGCTCACCTTTTGGCCAGTTCCTCCATATCCCATTGCGCTGGAGCATCCCAGCTATTGTCCGCCGTTTCCTCGGCTTCTCCCCACCAGGTCGCGACGCACCTGTAGGACGCCAAGGACATTGGCAGCCAATGCAGGAGCTCAAGGCTCCGATGCGCATCCCACATGTAAACATCAACGATTGCCAATGCAGAAAACGGCTTGGCGTTCAGCGTCGCGACGGCCAG